AAAAAAAAAAAAAAAAAAAAAAAAAAAAAAAAACAAGAAACGAATTTACTATTTGTCTTGCTGCGAAATTACATATCGTGACGTATATTTTTCGCGGGTTTCTTGTTCGCCGACAAATACAATGTGTTTTTCAACGGAAAAATAACTTTCAAAACACGATGCTCCGTTACGTTGCATCTGTAACTGTTAGCGCTGATGAAAACGGCAAACAGGTGGCGGTGATGGGAGAATTAATCAGTGTTTGTTGTGGCATACTCGGGATAATTTAATCGCCGAATGTTTGCGCTTCGATAGCCGCCGTCGCATCACTGTGGTGTCTTTGCCCCGTAGGAAGGCATTATAACGAATCAAGTCATCGCGCAGTTATAAGGATTGCCGTAATGCGCCGTACTTCGGGGTGAGTTTAGTACGCGTAGCCAAACGGTTGTTGTTGATATCTTCGGCGACGGAAATACTTCTAGATAATGAATTCGACTGTCGGCGGGTCAAAGGTGTACGACGGAAGCGGATGCGACGCGTTCCATGAAAAAACAAAGCCATGAGGAGCCAAGAATAGCGTTCGGGGCAAATAAATAATTTCTCCGTGCGGAAAGAGAACATTTCTGAAGAAGGGAATGACTCTAATGATATTCAATCGCAATATAAACAATGATAAGGAAAATCGGCCAAGAAAGAGCCAGCAATGCTGATCTAACTATTACACATTAATTATATAAATAAATACACGGAACAATGTCAATTTAAAGATTCGTACGTTACATTCCCGCTTTGGGCCAGTTAGATGATAAATTAGAATATAATAAAAAAAATAAAAATAAGAAAAATTAGGACTTAAAGAAATAATAAATTAGAATATAAGTACAGGAATTAATATTTAGTTTCACGTTTAGTATACAAAATTATAATTTATAAATTTTTTTTTAAAGGTGTAAAAAATCATTGAAGAAACCATTCATGTTTTTGCGATTTGATGAAGTTTAAAAAAAAATTATTATGAAAAAAACAAAGTACATGTTTTTAAGAACAGCAATATTTAGAAAGTTGGTCTGGATAAATTTTACTCGTATTTAGGGGGTTCTAGGATTAAAAAGAAGAAAATTGACCATGCTTAACCATTCTCGAATGACTGCAAAGAATTTCAGTGCTTTTAAATCATGCATAAAATTTTCAGCTTGATTTTTATCGAAACACACTCCATGTACGAGTAGGTTAGATCATTCTTGCATGACCATTTCTTTTTCCTCGGGAGAAAACAAAAAAACCATCGATCGAGACAGATGTTTGTTCACGAATCGTCAAGAATTCATATTCCCGCGAGAACCGGATTTTTCGAACCGCAAAATCTCGCGGACCGCGCCGAATTCGGATCATCATTCGCACGGGCCGATCGTTGAATATTTTCCGAGTTTGGTCTCTCCAAGATTTTACGATGCGCAACACGGCCGGTTGATCGAAAATATCGAGAGGTCGGAATATCCTGTTGGGAGAGAGCTTATCCCCGGAAAGATAAACCATCTCTGATATGACGTCGGGACAAGTTGAAAGAAAGTAAGAAATCCTAGCGATACGTATAATCGCAGCGCGCAGTGTATATATCGAAAAACCGCCGCGATGATAAATTTATGAGTAGTCGTCAGGAAGTCGATGCGATAAGATTAGCAGGAATATTTTATGTCGACTATCTGGAGGGATTCTATTATTTCACGAGCGTATTATTATCGAGGTTTCACGATCTGTTTTATTGAAATCTTCACCCAACTATTCTCGTATGTTACCGTTCCACTTCCGAATTCCATTCCCAAGTTCTACTTCGAAAAGATCATACGTTGATTTTTCTGATTTTCTCTTCAAACTTCTGTGTTAAATTCGACTATCAAAATTAAATCCGAATTATTATATTTTAATTAAATCCCCCCTTTCTAAAATCCCAACCAAATGTATTTACTAGGTTTCTATCGAATTTGCGAAAAATTATTAATTATTCATACTAACATTCAAGGCACAATTTTTACTGGCCTTTTATTTCTCTTAATTTTCTTAAAACCTTAAAAGCTTCTCATGAAAGCAATTATTAATTCTGTTTAAATAAAAGTATTCAAATAAATATGTGATTAATATCTCCACCGAAAGTATCTTTTTTCTCAGTGCAGTTTAAAGCACACAGAAAATTGTAATTTCTTCTACTTCGATTATCCTTGTTAAGTATCGTGCATCGTACGAAGGTTCAGCCCGAGGTGTTTGCGCGTTTACAAGACTACAATTCCAGTAAACGGCGTTAGTCACCCTTGGCTTGTTACGCTACTCACACGTTACGCAACGAAGATGCAAACCTCAAGTGACGAAGTGCATAGCCGCGATGATGCAAGACGTCGAGATCGCATGTCGTTCCCACGCGCATTAATTGTGTATCTACTGTCTGTCGGCAAATCGCGAACGTCTCTATTTATCGATACTGTGATATCCCTATCGTCTTCCTCCAAGTATCTCTTTATTTTCCTTCTTTCAGAACGTGGAGCTGCTGAATGGTACCATCCCGGCGAACGCAACGGACCTTGAGATCTCTCGTTGTCACGAGCTGAGAATACAAACCGGCGCGTTCGGGGGTCGCACACCCCTGAAGCGCGTCCACGTCTCGGGTATTTACAGCGTGGTGGCCAAGCGACAGGCCTTCCAGAATCTGAGCGCGCCCAACCTGCACCTCGAGGTATCGGAGTGCAACAGCGTGTTCCTGGAGAGCCATGCCTTCAGGAACTCGAACAGCACCCTGAGCGTCTTGATATCGCGATGCAAGCACGTAGAGATCAAGCCGAACGCCTTCTCGTGGCTGCTCTGGCTCACGGTGAAGGATGTACCGTTTTTGGACCTCTCCAGCAATGCCTTCAAGTTCGACGCGCCTCCGCACGGACGACACGGATCAGCGACCAAGGTCTGAAAGAGAACTGCTTCTCTCTTCTTCTCTCCCTCACTCACCCTATCTCTCTCTAACTATCTATTTCTCGCGCATCAACGCCATTACATGCGGTCGCCGTTCAACAACACACGTCGATTTAAATTCTACAAACTTTATATATATATATATATATATATATATAACCGATACCGCACACGATATTAATATGATTTATGCGCGATACCGATCGCTCGCGTCCCAGTTATACTACGCTATTAATTTGATATCGTGTAACGTCCAGTACGAGCATATAAATCCTATGATATTACTTGTAACGCTTCTCGTGTTAAATATCATCGCGAACAAACGAGCCCGACGCCGATTTTCCTAGCAATTTGCGTTGGTAGGTATCAGCGCGCTCGCGCGGTTGAATTTCGGGATAATCTAACTTAACGGTATCCAAGCCGACCCGGCCTGATCGTTAGCTCGCGAGACAAAGTGTCGGAAACTTCATTATAATTTCGAATGGCGTCGTTTGATGCAGATAATGTTCCAACACGTGGGGATCGCGGAACTACCCAAGGCGGTGTTTCCCTCCGTCATCCTGGAAATTCGAATGGACCATGTTCAGACCAAGTTCATACGCAAGGACGCCTTCTGCGCCATGATGATTTCGAGCGTAATCATCAGCAACGCGTCCATCACCGAGATTCAGTCGGGCGCCTTCAGCGAGAAAGCCCTCATCCAAAGTCTCGAGTTTGCCGACGTGGAAATTAAGAACATCAACACGGCCGCCTTCCGGGCTAATCACGACAATCTGACGATCCAATATTCAAGGTTTGATATTGAAATTGCTCTATTAATATTTCTGTTGTGACTGCATAGAAGACGTTCGAATGAGATATTTCGAACTGCGCATTCCTTTTTGATCTTGCATAGTTATACAAGAATGATTCAAACCATGTGAAGTATATTTCGAGGAAAATAAAAGTGAAAATTTGATAAACGATTTAAAAAGTATATAAGATAGCACTAAAGTTCTTCGCAATCATCAAACATAGTCAATTTTTCTTCTCTTCAAGGGTATCCACTGATAAGCTTAACTTTCAAAAAATGAGTAAAAATACAACTAGTAAAAAAAATAGCGCAACTTGTAGGAAATAAAAATTGTTTTTAATTAATAGGCATCCATAAGTCCATAAGTTCATTAACAGACTTGGATCTTTCTCGTTTTATGTAAAAGGACTACCCATTGACTATGAACTACCCATTGCTAAAAAAAGAAACTATAAGAACTAAAGAAAAAAATTATAATTTCGTGGATTGGATCATTCTTACATAATCATGACTGTTAATTCCCTTTTCTTCTTCTCTCTCTGCACTTCATTTTATTCTTTTTTTTATTATTGTTTTGTGTACTAAAAGAATATCTCTTCACGTTTGACCCTTTAAGATCTAGTGTACATAATTATATACATTCATTCGAGGTGCTCCCTAAATTTTTTATATTGACAAAGTAATATGATTCCGTCGATATAATACTATCGATTTATCCTACATATAAAGCTATATTTTACGTTCCAACTCGTGAAACAGAGATTTTTCTACTGAAAAAACCAATATAGCGTCCGCGTGCAGAGCAGAATCGCTGACGCTCGAAATTGCGTAAAATTTTTCACCAAAGAAAAGTAAGAAAACTCTTTATTCTATCAACTTTTTGTCGATACCATTTTAAAGCATAAGGTTGATGCTTTTGTATTCATTTTCACGATTATAAGATTGTTTAAATTCTGGGGCACTCATGAATGTATATAATCATGTATATTCAGAAAATCGTACTTCTCGACAGTTAATTTTATTCGCACCATAAGACTTAATTGAAAACACGCCTTTTAGAACTATTTCATGAAAAAAAATTTTTTTCTCGAACCGTATCAATATCTGAATATATATGTTAAAGGCTTAATTAAATAAACATCTAAGTATCGCGTGTTCTGTAAGTTTAAGTAAAATCACATCGGAGTATCTATTACAGAACAAGAAATTTTCGATGGAAATTTCATTTCGTTCTACTTGAGTAAATCTGTCATAGATATCCAAGCCGATTGCGAAAAGATCTCGGCGAGCAAACGAAAAGTCGATTTCCGAAAAGTGCTTGCTGAAGGAAACGTTTATTTTATCGCGTGACGACGACTGGTCGATTCCGAAAGTGATTCGTAGCAGGTCGAAAGTCACGAACGAAATCACGTTCGGAAATTCACTGATAGAAAACTGGCTCGTAGAGCTCCGCTCGGAATTGTAAATAGTTTCACGATAGATGGCTCGGTCCAATCAATTTCATGTTATTTTTGAATTGTCTTCACCGAATTATAACGATCAACTTTGAATCCACATGCAGTGCAGTCAGTGGGAAAGCAGGCCATTTTCATCCCGATGAACTTTAGAACGCATTCGTTATCCAATGGGGAAATTTATCTTCCGAGAATCATTGGACAAATTGTCTCATTGGACACGAATATATTGCGAAATTCATTCAAAGATAAGTAATAAAATATTAAGTAATAAATGTTGTAACATTTCCTCCACTGATTGTACACGTGTGGAAATGGCACGGTGGACAGAAAAAAATCCCACACGCAATTTCTCCACTCCGTCCTCACAGCCATCCTCTTCTCCGCGTGTACAGATTGTCCAAGGTGGAGAGTGGTGCCATCAATACGTCAGTGGCGACCATCACCTTCAGCCAGAACGAGTTCCTGCACTTGCGGTCGGGCTCGATTGTGCTGCAGCAGTGGAACCACATCGCGATCGACCGGAACGTCTTCGTGGAGTTGGAGAGCGACGCCATTAAGGCGGAGAAGGTCAACGCCACTTCCGCCCACAATTTTTCCTTCACGGCCAATCGCATAGAGAAGGCGCGAGCGGGCTCGCTAAGATTCGCGATGATCTCCCAGAGCGTGAACTCCGCCCGCGTTGGCAACAATTACTTCAAGAAGGAGTGCAGTTGCAATATCGAGGACTGGGTGCGCGAGGTGACGGGTAGCAACAGTTCGGCCACTTGGATGATGGACTCCAGCTACTGCATGGTCGACCAGTTCTTCCACAAGTGTCTGAACCTACCCGAGGGCTACATAGCCATGGGAAATTACACGCACCTCATGTGCACACCGCGGGATCACGTGCGCTGCGAGAAGCCATCCGCGAAGCCAGAGCCGAGCGTCAGCCCGCCCAACGTCGGCCCGCACGTGTATCCCCGGCACAAGAGCTTCTTCGACATGGAGATAAGCGAGATGGAGCAGCTGGAGCGCGAGAAGAGGATCATCGTGATCGTCTGCGTGGTGGCGGTCTTCATCGTCGTCGTGGCGATCCTGGCATCGGGGATTCTATACATGCGCAGACGCGGCGTGTGTCCGAAGCTCACATCCGGCCAACTGATGCATCTGACAAGTTGGTTCTCGTCCAACAACGGTATGACCGCCGCGACCTCCGCCAGATCGATCTCGAGGCTGAGCGTCCACGAGTACGCTGGTCTCCAGCCGGAGACTAGGATCATGGAAGTGGAGCCCCAGGCGGAAGCCGCGGAGGACTACGACGAGGACGGCGACATTTATCCCTACACGGAGAACAAGGCCACGCAGACGTTGCCGGAGGAGCTGACGGAGGAGTACCTGAGGGATCTCCGGGAGAGGCTCAACGACCCCGACAACTACAGCCAAGCGAGAGATATGATCGAGCACCTGTACGACCTCATCAAGGTCGAAGAGAGCTGCAACAACAACAACGATCGGCAACCGGTGGACGATCAAGAGGAGAACGCGTACGACATTATTCGGCCGAGGGTCAAGAGACCTCGCGGCGCCCCGAGACCTTGCGTCACTGTTGGCACGAAAGCGCCGTCCCTGGAGAAATTGTTGCCCAACGGCATACAAGTGAGGCCACCCATCACGGAGTACGCGCAACCTCGCGACCAAAGGACCAGCGACCAGAATCATCTGTATGCCGAATTGCCGGGCGACGAGACGGTGCCGAGTACCAGCCGATTGTCGCAGCCCATCTTGGACAGCCTCATCGGACGTGCACCGCAGCCGTTACCGCCCGACGTGGTGAACGATCACCTGCTGCTGGTCGACCGTCCGCCAAGGAACTGCGGCTTCGGCGACGTCGACCGCACGCCGCCGCAAAGCCCGCGCCTGGAGTCGTGCAGGAATCAGCAGACCAGGCCGATGAGCTTCCTCAAGGTACTCGGCGAGAGTCTCCGCGGCGCTACCAGCAAAATGAACGGCGGCAAGAGGCCGAATTCCCTGCTCTGCGAATACGCCGAGCCGTCCGACGTCACCGCTCACCTCTACTCGGAGTTGCCGGAACCGCAGGCGTCCGTGTCCACCAGCAAGATGGCGAACAGGCCGTTGCCCACGAAACCTGATCAGGATTCCGTCGCCGCGAGCACGGCGAAGGCGTAGCCAGGCTGATGTCCATTTATCTGTGATATACAAGTGTTGCGTGCTCCGAGAGCGGAGAATCCCGCGTCCCTTTCCGCTCTCTCTCTCTCTCTCTCTCTCTCTCTCTCTCTCTCTCTCTCTCTCTGTTTCTCTCTTTCACTCGCTTCGCGGGTGCTGCACGAAGAGAAACTGCCGGCGGTGCGGCTCGTTGCGCGCGTACACGTGTGCGCGAGTTTCGCCGAGGGTGATTGCATTCGCGTAAAAGCCTGCCGAGTCGCGCGCGAGTCGGCCGCGACAGAGCGGAGGAAATACGTCGGAAATTAGTGCAATTCACGCGTATACTCCCCTCGCCGTCGAGGACAGGCGTCGCGAAGGCCAAGTGTCCTTACTTTCAAACGCGTATGAATGAGGCCTCATTAGAACAATCGCGAGCTCGCTTCGTTATCGCTTCGAGAGGGGAGCGGAAAGTCGTGACGAATCGACCAAAGCTACGCTTAATTGCGAAAGTAGTAGTGCGACACACCAGTGTGTCGAAATTGCCGTGTCTCGCCGCGCTGTTCATTCTGGCTGTTGTATTCGCGTACTCGTGACGTCAAGAGACGGCCCCGTCGAACTCGTCGCGTTCTGTATTAGGGTATCGTCGTCCGTTCGCGAGACACCGCCGCGACAGACAAATCGACGGATCTTTATTTATGATTATATCTCCGACAAAAGTGGATGTAATATAAAGTTACACACACACACACACACGTACATATGTATACTCGCTTCATCAGGTATTATTAAATAAGCATTTTACAAGTCACGTGTTCGGCGCATCAATCAACACCAACAGCGAGTGCCCCTTTAAGGGCACCCATTCGACAATTACCTCATGAAAAATTTGAGTACATCAACTCCTCTCTTCTTTAACAAAGTTTAGTCTTTCTTTCAATATAAAATAATTTTTAGCGCAATATTAAATCAATTACTTCATTTCGTAATTCTGATTGGCAAAAATTGTGTGTACAAAATTAAAATTTTAATCATTAGTACAAAACTAAATTATTTTTATGGAACATATTTTTCAATATAAAGATTCAGATGCAGAATACGCGTGATCATCAAATTACATGGTTTTTGCCCCTCTCTTTATCATTACAGACCGCCACATAAGCTAATAGACTCAACCCCATTCGTGGTGTGACGTAATTGTTGAATGGCCCCTTAAACGAGATCGATTCACTTCCACAGGCGAGATCAAATTCGACCAAATGCACCGGTGAGGTTTGCCGAAGAAGAAGTCGCTCGCGAGAGCGAATTATATTCTCTCTCTCTCTCTCTCTCTCTCTCTGTTTCTCTCCGTGCGTACACAAATATACGCGCACATGCGCGCGATCGCCGACCCATCGCCGAATTGTTTCAAGTACGATACGAGCAGTCGAACAGAAGCACGGAATATTTCCCTGCGTTTCCGCGATCAATTCGCTCAAATGGGTAATAAAACAGCGCGCGGGTCCAACGATTAGATCTCCACCCGGCCCGAGCGAAGCACATCGCGCTTCAGATAGCGCCGCTCATGTCCGAGGAGCGTATTCCAATTCGAACGAGTATTCACTCGCGCAAGTTTGCCGCGCCACTTCGAGACGCTCATCGATTTCTCCCTATCTAAATCTCATGCTCGAAGGCGCAAGACGCGCGCCGTCTCGTTGTCTTATCTCGTGGAATTTTACGATTCAAGTATCCATCCCCCCCAAGACGCACGGCCTCTCTCACTTCCTTTCCGTTCTCTTTCAGCCTCCTCCGTGCCCGGAGAGTACTTTCAGGTTCAAGGGTCGTCACGAGTACTCACCCCTTGTTCTCTTTTTTCTTCTATTTTCTTTTTTTAATCAAATAACGCGCAGTGGTGCTCCCGTCGCAGAGGGAACGCGCGACTCCGGGGAGCAATGGCGGCCGCGGGAGCAAACGGAGGAAACGATTCGCCTCGGCGTCTCTCCGACGAGATATTCTTAATCTCTCTCGGGGCGCAGTCAGTGTATATCCGCGGCGAGACCAAACTATTCCATGAAGAATGTAAGAGGAACAAATAGAGCCCGGCTAGTCGGGGCGGCCTGCGACGCAGCTGTTGACGTCTAAACGGCCGACGTTCTTCGCTTCTACAGACGGTAAAACCCGGAGGAAACTCCGAGATCGTGCCATGGAAGTGCTGCAAAGGCACACAACAACCGCCGGCGACGGTAAAAAGTCCGCGAAAGGATCGTGGACGTAATATGTATCCCCGAGGACGATCAATTTCCCTAATTTTACTCGCGTCTCGCTTCTCTTTCTCTCTCCCTTCCTGCCTCCCTCCTTCTCTCTCTCTCTCCCTCTCTCTCTCTCTCTCTCTCTCTCTCTCTCTCTCTCTCTCTCTCTCTCTCTGTCTGTCTGTCTGTCTGTCTTACTCTTTCTTCTTCATATTCTCTTTGTACCCGACATGTCTCAACCAAGCTGCAGATTCGTAGTGAGAATTCGCGCTCGCCCAGTAATTCGTAGTCGATTTTTCCTCGACGGGAATTTAATCTAAGACTTAATTATCGCGCTATTTAACGTCGAAAATTAAAGCACCCCGGCAAATTAAATGTCAGGAGCGTAAATGAATGATGGGGACCTCGCACCTCGATTAATCCAGGACCAAATGTTTTCGTGATAAAAATTTAATTTACCGGGAATTGCCGAGCAATTTTGCGTTGTCGGAGAAGTAAGCAACGTGTTAATACATACATCATGCGTATCAAACCGTGCTCATATCCGACATATATTTTCTTTCTCTCATCGTGCACTGAGAAAAAAAATTATTATTCGAGGAAAGAGAGATGTAGATACTAATAACATATTTAAAACTGAATTCTTTCATTTAAATAGAATCAACAATTGTATTTTCATGAAAATATAAAATATCTTAATAATAAAAAATATCTTATTTGAAAAATATTTTATACTAACGCAAGTAAATATGTTATTAATGAAATCAGCGAGTAAATGTGTTTCTCTTTTTTCTTAGATATCTTTTCTCTCAGTGCACATTTCCGAATCAGTTTGGTTATCTTCAAACATATTAACTTGCATTATGTAGCTACGATGATAAAGTCGCGCGAAATGTGAGTCACACCTAGTTCGCAAATTTACCAATTTTTTCCTGTAGAGATAATAAATGTCGATTTCCCCGTTAATATTTGCATCGTTATCGTACAGATAAAGACAGGAAGCGTTGTGTGTGACTAGAAGAATCCATTAGTCTTTGCATTGCGAGCAGACGTAAAACGAAGCAAAAAGGGATTCCGATATTTTCACGAAAAAGATAATCGCCAAATGATTTCGCGGAAAATGATTTTGATATTTCCACGGAAAAAGGACGAAACGGAAATGTCTCGATCAAAATGTAAATATGTAAGCGATAAATTCGCGCGTTATCGAGTATCATTTTATCCGGACACAAAGCGCAAAATAGAATCTTTTGCGTCTCTCTCTCTCTCTCTCTCTCTCTCTCTCTCTCTCTCTCTCTCTTTCTCGTCGAAGTCGTAATTTCTCTCGCGCGTTTTATCACGGAGTACTTCGTCGACAGGTTAAAGAGCGATACCAAGGCGCGCTATACGAAGCTGCCCGTCCTATCGTGCACCGATTCGTGGGATTGTTTATGGTCGGCCATTTTTCAGATAAGAGTGTCATTTTTCTCGAGACCGGTTGCTCGTCGTGGAAAGTCAAGAGAGACGGCCGAACGAGTTCCCAACTAGATGCAATTTGTTGTTCCCTCCCTCTCTCTTTCCCTTTCCTCTCTCCTCTTTCTCTCCCCCCCCCCATCTCTCTCTCTCTCTCTGTCTCTGCTTTGCCTTCGATCTCGACTCCCGCCTCCCGCAATGTCTCACACCTCGAATTTATGGATACTTATATATTATTTAATTTACGGCCAGCATGTAAGTATACATCCGTATCCGTCTCTGAGAAAACACAAACGTGTCAACGTATATCTCGGCAAATATAGATGGAAGCGACTTCGAATATATAACATTGTGTAATTTATCTCCAAAGTTCGCGCATGAAACTGTTACGACCCGACCAACGTGAGCCTCGCACACTCGATTTGAAGAAATAAGAAGTTGCCAACGTAGTTTGTTTATATTATCTTGTTTGTACACATTTGTTTGCGACACCGTTCGTTCCGTGTTTGTACTTTAGAAAACAAAAAGAAGTTCAAGGGGTTAAAGGATAGTCAGCGCGATCAAGTGGAAGATATTTGGAATTGCCTAATATTTTTCTTGAGAAAGTACAGAAAAATATCATTTTACCGTTCAGAGAAGCGATAACACACTTTTTTTCCTTATTTTAAGTGACAGTTATCTTCAACAAAGAATATTAAATTAAAACAAAATTATTTGTCAAACAAATTATTTCCTTGATAACAGTTTTAAAATGTGTTCATCACATATTACATAGCAAAGTTTTTTAAAGCAAAGTTCACTTCTGAGAAATAATGTTTATCTCTATAAAATTAAATTTACATATCACAGATAAATTTTCTAATATTTTTTTCTCAGTATATGAGAGATTTACGGATACAAAAGCTCATGAAATATTTGAAACAAGTAATATTTACGTGTAAATGTAGCATGTATTTTTCTGCGTGTATGAACTTGTGGATCCTTTACATCTCGATGTGTTTGAGATTACAGCATTATCAAAATTCATCAAACTTCTTGATGTCTTGAGATACATCCAAATGGCCAATGACGTTAATTGAAGTTAATTATTAAGGAATAGAAAATACGAAAAAAATGTAATGTCTGGCCGAAAACTGCAAATTATGAGACAATATTACGAAGAAGACCAGTACAAACTTCTTTGCGATTCTGCGGAACTCTGCGGGGATTTGGTCGGACACAGTTCCTTTTGAGCCAACCTACAGCGTTCGGCGGGATCGTTCGACAGGAAGTCGCGCGGACAAATAAAAACGATAAAAATCGCCGGAGCGAAATCCGTCGAGTCGATGATGAGAACGCAGGAAATCTACGCCGTTTCGCGATCTCCCGAAAGTCAGATCCGTTGCTCGCGAGCGATAACGGTCTCGCAACACACACCGCGGTGCAAAATAGGTGTCCGAGGCGGAAGTGAATGAGATCACGGCTGTGATCCAGCGTGCTCGCACGGGAGAGCATAATCCGCAGCCAGACCGGCCAAGCAGGCGGCTCTATCAGGTTTCATCAGCGGGCCAATCATCTCATCACTCGGATGGTCGTGCTAGCGTCCGATTCACCATGCTCTAACCCGTTTCTCTGGCCCCTGACCTAATCCCCGTCGAGATCCCAGGAAAATCGATCGGGGAATCGCCGGCGGACATCTCGCGACGGCACGACGACTGGGTTATCGAAGTACCGAAATCATGGGTCGATCTGAGAGGGAGCTTAGCCTAAGCCGGAGCTTAGATCGTAAATGGATTTTCCATCTCGCGCGTCCCTCTTCGTCCTTCTCTGTTCTCTCGCCTTCCGTCCGAGTAAAACAGCTTATAACGACGTATAGCGTGTCAAACTATTGTAATTACCGCGAAACTGCGCTACATTAGAGGAGAGATGGTACCGACACGTGCGACAAGCACGGCAAAAGCAATTCGCACACTCGTCGTTGAACCGACCCCGTGACGTTCGGCTTTCGTTCTCCAAGCGCGCGGTCTAAAATGCACTGACGTTAATTAACGTGGACGTCGTAACAACGTGTCGCAATGCGTGTCTCGCGGTCATTCGGTTCGACGCTTCGATCGGAAGGGAACAGAGAAAAGGGGTTTCGCGCGTCGATTGG